TATATATATTCCTTGAAGAATTGCCGGCCTTTACTTGATTCTGTTTTTCGGCTGTAATAAATATATAAGGTAAATTTTCTGGTATGCTTACAGTTCTCATTCAGCAGTGTCAGTTTGGTACATCTCCAAAACCCTCCTCTGCTGCTGCTGTTCTTTTTTTCCACTTTATTGTGTTTTATTTATTTGTTTCCTCTGTTTGCCTGTATTACATACAGCGACCTCACCACCTCCTTTTTCCTGCAGCTGTCAGGAGTCAACTTTCCAGTTGTCTCACCAGACCGTGTTAGCTGATTCGCTGAGGTGGAGCAGATAAATCCTGACATATTGCAACCAGATTGTGGCTGTTGTGGGAGCTGCCCCAGACAGGACTTTTTTTCAATTTCATCCACACCAGAGATGACAATGACAAATGGTTCTTATTGAAATAGCCATGCACTGTACAGCCTCTGGAAACGGAAACCCCATCAGGATAAATTGCAGCTTGGTATCAATTCTGTGTCTTTTGCCTATGCGTCGTTTCTTGTAACAAAAGGCCCAATTAACCCTCCACAGAAATCTAAATCTTGGATAAAATTAATGCTGCTGTGTGTGTTTACATGTAGCTATTATAGGCTGACAGGCTTCACAGCATTGTGCTACTGCCTCCGCAGTGCATTGTCATATTTTTTCTTTTTTTTTTTATTGATTTATGGGTTTGTGTCAACAGCAAATACAGTGTCAGCTCTTTTATTTGTGTGTTAAAGAAAACATTTTCACTGCTGGTATTAGAAGTATAAATAAAACCGCAGCTTAAAAAATATGTGTGACAAAAGGCTCGAGTCCTTCCAACTTCGGAGCAGACAGAGTGAAAAGATCTCTGCTGGCAGACGTGACCGATTAAACTAATTTCCTGCCTGAGGCAAACAGAAGAATGTTTTAGACGTCATATGAGTAACTTTTTGCTGACTCAACTGCTCAAGTCTTTTATTTACTTCACTTGTGTATATATCTCAAGTTTGTCACAGAGATGGCTGTGACAAACACTTTTATTGACATTAAGAACAAGAGGGGGAGGGGGGAACATGATGAAAAGTGCTTCAAGGTGCTTCTTAATTATCACCTGCTTTTAAGGACTGTACAAGACAGTAGCGCTTTCTCTGTATTTGCTGCCTGTTCATCCATGCACGTCACGTCGAAGGAGGCATTTTGTTGTCAATAAATGCTCGAAAGTGGATATTGAATAGAGCACACAAAAAAAAAAAAACATTGGACAGGATGCAGAGTGTGTGCTTTGGAAATGTGTTGCACCGTGAGAATGGCTGCTGAGACTCCTCTCTGATGCTTTCTGTGTTGACAGCAGTGTCATACAAACTCAGACATTTTCATAATACCAAGCAAATGTAATGCATCAAATGTGAAGCAGAAACATCACCGGTTAATCTTTTAGTTTGCTTGTTCTGAATAAAACACCTAATAGTCCACCATAAGGACAAATGATGCCTAAAGATCACAGATTAAAGTGTTACGGGTGGTTAAACGATGTAATATTAACCTTTTTCTCTGTTTGGTAGTTGCTACTGTACTGAATGTGACCAAGTACAACTGGGTGGGAGGTGTTAAAAAACAACCAGAGCGAAGTTCAAAAGGTCACTGCCTCTGGTCAAGAAAAGAGGCTTGTACAAGATAAACTGTGCCTCACTTGGAAAGCAGATGGGAGTAGATGAGAGCAAATGCCAGCAGCATCAGCAGAGAGAAACAAAACCCTGCTGTAAAGCCAAGACACTTCCCTGCATGCCCTTAGTCTGTACAAGAAGTGACTAACGCTGAGATCTTGCTAAAACTGTTCCTGATTTAATTAAATATTTCTATATATTTGTTTTTGAAAATCTTCCAATAGGGTTGCCTGATAAAATGCTTTGCAGGCAAGTTGTTGTCTCTGTTTATAGTTCATCCTCCATTTATTTCCTCATATAAATCAATATTATAAATTGCGTTTGTATGTAAAAGCTTTGCAAAGTCACCCTTATTAAACTGAATTCCTAAAAGCAATATGTCAAAAATAAACAAGTAAATACAAAAAATAAAAATAAAGGAAAAAAAGGAAAACAACTGCTTCACTGGATTGTATGACTTTTTGGGTGTTTGTACAGATTCCTTATTAAGAATCATCACTTCATGCATGTTTTATGATAATACTTAAATATTAAAGGGACCCAAAGCAAAGCATAAAAATCTTTAACTATATTAAATGCTGTAATTCTAATTAGTTTAGTCCAGTAATTCATATGTCAGAAAATGTGTAAAACATTAAACAAGTTTGCATTCTTGAAAAGGTTGTTTAGGTGGAAATGTTATAGTGAATCTGCTGCCAGGGGTGGAACCAGAGCAGCGGCCAGGGTGGCAAACCTCTGACACCTGATTGGCCACCCCCAAATAATTGAAAAGTGGGTGGGGATCTTGGATTTTAAATTTGCATATAAATTTGATGAAAGTTTGCTTTCTGATATTACTGTATGGCACATTTTTTTAGCTGTGTATGTTTAAAAATGGCTAAATTACTGTCCTCTATAATATTAGCATTAGCATTAGTGGTTAGCTTAATTTGGAGTTGGCATTGCTTATTAACACATGATCATTCTTAGCTACTCCACAACAAATTGCATCTCAACAAGTCTTAAAATAGGTAAATTGTAACATTTTAAATCTAGCTGTGGTGGCCATCTTGAATTTTTATTAGCATTTAGATCTGGTAAAGATTGATTTTGGCTTCTTCTACACTAATCTTCAGCTTTGTATGTCTAAAAACGGCTGAATAACAAGTTGTGACTATCCTTCAGCATGTTTTTGTTCATTTTTAGCTATGATCACAAAATTTCAGCTAATTTCTGAAAACATTTGAGTTAATGCAATTTGAAATTAGCTATGGTGGCCATGTTGAATTTTATTTATTTGTATGTGACCTCTAAAAAACCCATTGGCTACCCCTGTGCCACCTCTTGCAAAAAAGTCTGTCTGGTGCTAAATGCAAAGGAACAAGAACTAGTAAGAAAACATTCGACAGTATATACAGTAGAGTACGTAGTATGGTAGAGTACCATAAAGTAATCATCAGATAATGTAATCATTCTTGCACTTCTTAGTGTTGTATCACCAAATTGTATGATTTGCATACTGAAGGACAAGCTAGTTCTGAAGAAGAAAAGTGTAGCTTCTAGTTTCATGAGCTAAAGGCTTTCTGATTAGCATCTGTGTTCTTACATTGTGTTTCGAGGCTTTCGCAGAGCTCGGTCTTAGCTTCTCCATTGGGTCTGAGTCCAGCCTTGGGGTTGAACTTGTTGGACATGGTGGCGGCGGTAACCACGGCCTTGAGGCTGCGYGTGTGCCTGGGCACATTCTGTTCGGGGTGCAAAAGAATCACGTAGACCTTGGGCATGTAGAGCAATCCGAGGATCACCGAAGCACTTAGGCTCACAGAGATGGTTAGTGTGGTTGTTTGGATGTACATCTGCAGGAGACAAACACCAGACACGCACAGTACAAACAGTTTAAACAAACAGAATTTCCTATAAGGGCAGCAGACAATATGAGAAACATCTGCTGTGTATCATTCGAATTAAAGCAACTAATGAGGTGTAGCAGACCAGATTGTTCGAGAAGTAGTTTCTACTTTGTTCAATAGAGGCTGGGAAATTTTGTGTGATAAAATTTGTTTCAAATCAGCATCTCATCTACTTTTGTGATGTGTGTGTTGAACAAGCCAAGGCCACAGGGTTTGTTAAATTCTCTGCAATGATGGTTTTAACATGACCACCATGTAAAAATGGACACAATCTGATGACTTCAGTCCTCCGGATCCTCTATAACTCACAACAAAGACACTTACAAAATAAATAAAATAAAAACAAGTTCATGAACATTGTAAGCATGGTCAAGTCCTCTCGAACACAAGGTAATGTAATACTGAATATGTTCTGCAACACTGCAGCAAGTTAATGAGTATCTCAATAGAAGGTTTGAGGAAGAGAAGAAGCTTGTTTCATTTTGTTCTGATTCAGTTTCAGTCAAATTCTATTTTTAGTTACAGGAGGCTTAATTGTTTATTGAAAGGCAGATAAATATAAAGACAGAAACAACCAAATATAAGGCAACATTTAGCTACTAAAACCAAACTTAAATAGAGTAAGGTTCAGGTGGACGTGTTCATTCAGAACACCTGGATAAATCATACATTGAGCACGGCTCGCAGCCCTGCAACTAAGAGAAATGTTTCCACCCCGGTTCTGCTCTAATGTTCTAATGTGCCCTGCAGCAAAAACTTAATGAAACTCTGTGGCAGATGTGCTGATTAGTAAATTAACCAAGGTTGGTGCTAATGCTAAAGTTAGTTTCTATTTTAAAGGAACTGAAGGCAGAGATTGTGAAGATTTCTTCTGTCTGACAGCAAAGAGCAACTGCTGTCACTAACACTGCTAACGAGCCGGGGGATTATAGGCTTCCCACAACTTCAAAACCAAGCTGACAAAGTGTATCAGGGACTTTTTCAGAGGTGGTAGTAAGTAGTAAAAAGTCTCTCTTTTATCATGTATTTGCAGCAGTATTTGTGTATACTTCCAACTGAGAAGCAGCTTCTGGCAGTGGTATTAAGGTTAACATGGCCAGGATGATTTTGGTTGGTTTTTATACATACTGTAAGAGGATAAACAATTGGTAGATGTCACAGAATATTTACTAAATATACCCCTCAATAGTTGTGTAAATTTGTCAAGCTAACTGAGTCGCATTTTTTATGAAAGGTGCAATATTATGTGTTTCTCAGGCATACATTTAAATACTATACCATAATAAAGTATCTATGTCACCTTTAGATGTTATTAAAATGCTGTTTTTATGTTTAAATAGAAAATAAACTTATCTTCTCATCACACCCTCTTCTAAACGCCTTGCAATTGTCTTCTGTCTCTTTCAGAACCAACTTCACTTCTGTCTTGCCCAATTTGGTTGGGGGGTGGGGGTGCTGCTATGATGCAGTCTACTGGTATCTGAAAATATATTTCCTCAAAGGTATTTTTAATCTGAAAAGAGCTTCACTGAGTGAACAGTAGTGTTAGGAGCTCAGCAGACAGTTTCAGTTTCACTTTCACTTTCACCCGAGAGCCTGCAGGAGCCATGGGCGGGGTGTACGGGGAGGGGGGGGGGGGTGCTCCGCCACAAGGAAGCTCGGCTTAAAGACACGTCCCAGGGGCGTTTCTGGTCCCCACTTGTCGTTTCTGGTCCTCAGCATGGCTTCCTAAAAACTCTGCAGGATTTCTCAAACATGCATAAATGAGTCAGAGCAAGGCTTTGAACATGTTTTTTATGAGAGTATAACATGATAGAAAACTCAAAAAAGTTGATTTTATATGATATTGCCCCCTTAAAGGTATTTTTATTTTTAAGGAACTTGGAGTTTATGCTTTTCAGATGCAAGCTGATTTGAAGCAAAATGTTTAACATAATTAATGACTGAAATGTTAAAACAAAGAAACGTTCACCTCCTGTCAGTTTAGATAAAACAGTTTGGGCTTCCAATTGAATTTGATTAATTAGGGTAAACTGTGAGCTCTATGTTGGTGAATAATTACCTAATTTTCCTGTGGGTTTGCATGAAGATGTACTATAAAACAGGTTAGATATAAAGAGACATTTTTTGTGTGATTTTTATCTTAACAAAAAATAAAACTCTATTCAGAAATGATGGCTTTAGTTGTTAAATTTTTCTTTTTCAAAGCTTGGATCAAATCAAAATACTTGTGTGTTCTTCTATAAAATAGACTTCATGATGTTGGCTTGACTTATTTACTCATAGCGGCACCTCCAGAACATTTTCAAAGGGGTGAGCAGATTGGGGTCACTGATAATCTTGAGGTGGCACCAAATAGAACAGATAGAACATTTTTGGATGAGCTGTTGCATATCAATGCAGACATTTCTACTGTGTTCATTGTGTGTGTGATTTTCTGTGGTATTTTCAGTGGGTACAGTATAAATACATATATTTTAAACACGGCTGTAGGTAAAAGCATTGTGAATCTCAG